AAAATGTTTGAACTGATAAAACATGGTTAGCATAGCTTTCTAGATGATTCCAGTTGATAATTAATCATTTCATTTTGAGTTGACACGATGGCTCAGTGGTTTGCACTGTCATCATGACAAAGATAAAATAAATCAGTTATAAAAAATGACTTATTAAATCTTTGCCTCGTTTGGAGTGGGTGTCTCCAGGTGCTCCGGTTTCGCCCAAAGTCCAAAGACATGCGCTATAGGTGAATTGAATAAACTAAATTGGCCGTAGTGTATGTGTGTAAATGAGAGTGTATGTGTGTTTCCCAGAACTGGGCTGCAGCTGGAAGGGCATCTGCCGCGTAAAACATATGCTGGATAAGTTGGTGGTTCATTCTACTGTGGCAACCCCTTATGAATAAAGGGACTAAGCTGAAGGAAAATGAAAAATAATTTTATTTTAGACGGCATTAAAGCTGCATTTAGAATGCATTTTATCTTTCTAGATGCCTCTGGACGCCTCAGGCTGTAAACATGTCAAATTCGGCCTTGATTAAAAATGTAATACATATATAGTCACCTGACAGTTATGTGCACTGTATGTTGTTGTGCAGTGCATGTAAGTAGAGTCAAATGAGATTAAAGGGACTAATGAGATAAAGGGACTAAGCTGAAGGAAAATGAAAAATAATTTTATTTTAGACGGCATTAAAGCTGCATTTAGAATGCATTTTATCTTTCTAGATGCCTCTGGACGCCTCAGGCTGTAAACATGTCAAATTCGGCCTTGATTAAAAATGTAATACATATATAGTCACCTGACAGTTATGTGCACTGTATGTTGTTGTGCAGTGCATGTAAGTAGAGTCAAATGAGATTAGTTAGTTAGTTTTTTCTGAACTGTATTTATTTTTTGTTCTGGGATATTTTATTAGAAATTTTAGATTTTAGTAATAAACAAACATGACTAACTCAGTTAAATCTGAAAATGTTTTCAATTTAGCATCTAATGCCGAGTTCAGACTGCATGATTTTAGCCCTGATTTTGACTCGCCGACAGGTTTTAAGAAATCGCAGACAAATGGCTGAAATCACAGGCAAATTGATGCTCGTTTATGTGAGTAACAATCACACTGTGTGAACTATCATAGATGCCATCTGAGAAAATCGCAGATGAGTCGTCGACACCCGTGAGATATTGGCAGGCTAAATATCTTGAGCTGTCGGTGATACAAAATCTTGCCGTCTGAGATGTGTTCTGATTAAAAATAACATCGGCGATCACCTACAACCATTGAGAGAGCACCATCCACTAGTATGGGTATCTGCAGGCCAGTTGGGGGTTGGGGAAGAAGTTAAAAGCGCTTAATTTTCGGTCTATTTAGACTCAAGAAATGGAGGAAAAACTAGTGAAAATTTACCAGGAGCACCCGTGTCTGTTTGACATGTCATCTGAGCAATATCTAAAACTGGGTCAAAAAAGAAATAAAGTTGAGGAGAAATTGCTAATTCTCTACAAAGACAGGTGAGCAAAATAACTACTATCTACCCCACTCTTTCTTATTATGTAGTTAGTTGCAAAAGATATATTACGTCCCCTCGCATTGTTTCTAGGTCTCTTCTCATGGGTGTTTGGTTGTTAGATTTTGTGAACTAAGACAATGTTGTTAGTGATTCTTGAAGGGCACCTAATTTACCCCTTTTTCAAGATTTAAGATAACTCTTTTGTGTTCAGAATGTGTCCGTAAAGTTTCAGCTCAAAATACCCATCTGATTATTTATTATACTTGCTGGAATTTTTCCATTTTAGGGGACGGGGTTAGGTAAGCCCATTAAAAAGCTTTGAATGCATTTTAGATTGCACTGTACCAGGTCTGCATCCAGACCCCTCTCCAATTTTCTGCTCTGAACACTATGTAGCTGTTTTTGTTGTCTGTGTCTTTAATGCTAGTGAGTGTCAAAATGGGAGGGATTTGGATTTTAATATCAGAAAATAAAAAAAGAGACTAATTGTGTTCCTATCACCCCAGTATGACTGTGGACACACTATACATACACACAGTTCTGTCCAAACAGCTTACAAAAGATGATTTTCATCTTATGTGCCCTTTAAAAACATGCAATGTGAAACCACATTGACCTATAATCCATCCTACAGTGTGAACACAACACCGACAGAACGCTACCTCAGTCATGCAGTGTGGAAAACATCTGTGACACCACTACTTTGAAAATCATGCAGTCTAAACTTAGCATAAATATTAAAATATTATGAATTTTTGGAACACTGAAATAGGGTTGCATGATTTACCGATACTATAGTAGTATCGCGATACTATAGCTCCAAAATACTGGTGGTGCCACTTTAGTTTGCAAACTGTACTATCGTCATTAACGGTCTAGCTACAATAGATAATGTTGGATGTGAAAAGTCACTGAAACGCTCACACATTTGTGCAACAATAGACCATTTTATTTTAGTAGAAAAGACAATTCAAATTAAGATACAATCTTTTTTAAATAATGACTCGCAGTGAAATTTTGAATTACTTTTGGATTGTAACTTGATAAGACTGAAAAACACAATAGATGAAAAAAAAAAAGCAACAGGAAACAATAGCCCCTTTCACACATACAGACCTTTCCGGAAAATTGCCGGCAATTTTCCAGAAAGGTTGTATGTGTGAAAGGGGCTATTGTTTCCTGTTGCTTCGTTCTGGCTATTTTCCGGAAAGAGAAGTTGTAACATTACCGGCAATTTGCCGGAATGCTGCGCTGTGTGAATGCAGAAGGAAGATTCCCGTAATAAGCGCGTGCACTTCTAGA